CTAAAGACGAATATTAATAGACTATATTATTGTGTAGATATAGGTAGGTACATGTACATATAGTTAGATTCGTGAAATGTATTATTGTACGAGTCCTGCTACCTCACCTTTGAAAGTTACGGAATAAGTCCAATCGTCCTCGGATACCCATCTATACGCTACGTCATTGTATCGTCGCAACGGGTCTTCGTTCAGTACGCTGTTGGTTAGCAAGTCGGTGAATACTCCGCCGGGCACACGGCCAGTACCAGAGACACCTGAAAACATATTGTGACGTACATATATAGGTACCTATAAGGCTATAGAGATATACGTATAGCAATAGCATAATATTATAGTAACGCTTATTATTATTCACTTATTCTCGTTCAGATTGGTCGTGCGTATATATTATAATAGTTTATAGGGCACCACGTGATGTGTATTACTGTATTAATATATATTCATATTGGACCCATGTGGAACTAAAAACAAAAAATGTTATTGTTTTCGAAGAGGATTTCAGATATCGGATATTTGGATGTCTACAATCAAAATGTGGATCTGAATTATATTCACTGCAAAATCACTCAATACGGTTGTGATTTGTGATGTCGGTAAAAACTGTAGTTCAAATAAAATAAGTAAAAAGCAGAAAATTGACACCAAAAGTGTCGATTAAAGAGTGATAGAAAAACGAACGAAGTGCCGAAAATAAGTCGAGGTTTATCACAACTATTAAAGTCCCGTCGACCATCTCACCACTCACTGGTATTTCTGTTAGCGAAGCGCCAGTGGGACGAATCCAACGACCATTCCAATACCGTGCCAGACGCAGCCGACAAACGCAGGAGGAACAGCGCTGCAATAATTTCTGATACGGGCTGCATGATTCCTGCGAGCGCGGCGCCGTATCCGGTTCGCCGACAAAAGTCGTACTGAATTCTGATAGTGTCCGAACCCGAGCGTGATGGTCAATCTAATCGTTCGGACTAGCGAGTCGGTGGCGTCTCCCGTGTTTCCTACACGACACGGTTGTGTAGTCTTAACATTCAAACATTGATATTATAAACATAACGCGGTCGTAGTATAATGGAACCAGAGTGGTATTATACCGCGAACACTATACAACGTACGACGTTGTTTAATATTTGAACGCGTTATTGCGTTAAACGTTTGGTATAGTGATTACTGATTTGTACCGAATTGTATAGGTACGTCGGCAGGCGGCAGCAGTCGGTGCTCTACAACTTCTGATGAGCAACAATATTGTATTCAGTGTACGATTTTACGAGTATAATATTATTAGAATAATTAATAACATGAACGCAAATTATTCCAAAGGGTATAGGCGGTATTGCTAGGTTTATTACTTGTGTAATATTATAAAAGTCTAGAACATTACGACATAATACACGACGGCTACGGCGTGGTTCGTATACAAATAATATTGTTGATATATGGTGATCTGTACGTCCGTCCGTCTGTGTGTTAATAATATTGTAGCGTTCCATSCGGTACCAGTACATATTATTATACAATATTATAATTTAAGAAATAATATACAATTATTACTATTGCTGGTTTTTTGTTATTATTGTATATTATTATTATACGATCGTCGCGTTGTTATTATTATTATTAGTAGTAGTATACGGCGTTTGCGTACGTGCCGCGGTACCACGCATGCTCACGGGTCGGAACGCGACCCCTCCACCCCTCGTCGAACAACATCACCACCACCACGGTTGACGACCRAACGCGAATCGTCCAGCGCCACCGAACCGACTGGCAGTCGAAGTTTGACTGCTTTGGCTTGCGGAYGTGTGTTCACCGTCGCTACTACTACGCCCCCCAATCGATAACGACACCGTTCGTTTTCGTGTGCCGATTCGAACGTGAACCGTTCGCGCCTCAAACGTTCATTCGTTTCCAGTCGATTCCAGCGATCCACGACCGTCCCGAGAGACTTGGGAGACGCGCGACCAGAACGACTTAAACAACAACAAACAACAATGGAAGAAGACCAAAATGGCGTCGTCGCCGCCGCAGTAGTCGGGAGGCCGCCGAACAGCGAAACCTGCGGAATGATCGTCAACCACAGTGGTGGCGAGGAGGGCCCGACGCCAACGGCTGCGGCTGCAGCGCCGCCGACACCAGCGCTCCCAGCGGCGGCGGCGGCAACAGCGTTCGGAGCTCCGGCGCGCCCAGCGCCGCGGTACGGCGCCCATCTCAACTTCAACAATAACAATTCGGTCATCAAAGGGCAGCTTAATAAGGTACCTACGCGTTGTCTAAACACTCTAAATCACAACGATTTTAGTATTTTACCAACCCGTAACCGATTTTTCCCCGAGCTTTATCATCCTCCACTGAGTTTTCCGATTTTTTTCGTTCACTCCCCGCAGGCCTCGGTGATGTAAAGTAAACGTGACACGAGGTTAATGTCGGCGGACGTAACGTGTATTCGTACGATTAGACTGTTATTTATTTATTATTCGAATTTCCACGAGTAAATCTCGTCGGTCAACGAAGAGTTTCCTTTTTTACGAACTCGGGGTGGCTATCGCCCGTCGCACAATTATATAAATATCATGTTTATTTATATGTTTGGCGTCCCTACGCCTCCGATTTATGTGAATGTTGTCCGTGCAGAATGAAATACAGCAAGCAGTGTGCCAAGGACGACCACTATTATAGACATGTTTTTCACTTCAATTATTATTACTGTTGCTGTTGTTAGTGGTTTACTATTCCAGTGCCTTATGGCTTAAAAGTATTGCGTCGAAATAAACTGTTGTCTAATTAACTATAATATAATATAATATAATTTTATAGAGATTTTCTTCGACCATTTATTTTGTGCCCGGTGGATATTTCGGGAGTTTTTGGATTGAAATAAAAAAAAAAAACGTCTTTTTATATTACCTATGCACGATTTAAGGTAATCGGGTGTTGGACAAGATAATATATTTGTAGGAGGGGAAATTTTAAAAATAACATCTTTACTAAATTATACTGCTTACCTATTTTAACATAAAATTCCCATGGTTCTATTGTGTCGTTTATTTAAACTTAATTGCCTTAATTTACCGGATCTTAAGAATAATCTTTGACGTAAACACCATATGCTCATGTTAATATATTATAAAAATGCAGAATTAAAATATTTGTTTTGTTCTAATGAAGTGTATGTTCCTAATATCCTCATAATCCATTCTAAATTTAAAAAAGTTATATTTTATTTAAAAATATATCCATCCTGAATATAATTCAGATTGAAAGATAATTTCTTTTTCAATCAATAGTTTGTCCTATTTTTTTTTTTTTTATCATAATAAAACCAATAAAATATTTTATAGGGTCCCGGTAATCTAGATCACAGAAATAGACGTACACGTCGTGGCAAACGTAAAAGCAGAAAGCAAACGCCATACATGAAGGATGGGATGTTATATCGAGACAAAGCTGTCGCTCCCAACAATACTAATCAGTTTTTGATGGACGATCATAATGATGGACCAGACATAGATAAAAAACTGTTAGCACGGTACAGCAATGAAAATGGACGTACAAGAAATTCAAGTTACACTAGTGTCGAATCAGAAGGTGAACAGATGTATTCTTCATCAGATGATGATGGGACTTCAATACAAAAGGAATTTATTGATACCTATAGACTTATTCAAGAAGAACAATTGTCAGGGTTGACTCCAAGTGAACTCGTTCAACGAGTGATTGAGCTTGAAGAAAAACTACAAACACAACAAGAGTCTAAGAGGTAAAATAAATTAAATTTAAAATAATATTTATATTTTATCTAATATTATTAATCATTTATTCACTAATAACATTACAAAATGTCATTTTTTTTTTTTATAAAAATATACTTAATGRTAAAAAAAATATAAATTACCAATAAATAGGAAAATACACAAAAAAAATAAGTAATTAAGTTGTTTTTATTTAATATAGGTTTAAAAAAAATATGATTACATATTCAAACGGCATACCTAAAGAAGAAGATGAAGATAATTTTATTGATATAGAAGAATATAGATCATTGCAAGTACAGAATAGAGAATTGATGACACAAAACAAACTGCTGCAAGCTGAAATTGAAACTCTTAAACAAATACAAAGCAAAACAATAAATAATGATTCAGATAGCTCTGTAGATAGTGAGAGTTCATCAGACTCCAGTAGCTCTTCCAGTTCATCAGATGGACAAGAAATAGAAATGAAGTTCTTAGTACGGAGTAGTGAAAGAAATGATTGATCAATCAAGTACCAAAATGTAAATGCTTTTTCCTTGTAAATATAAGTATACATATATATATATATATTTTTTTTTTTAAGAACAGCTTCTGATAATACTTTTTGTTAATATTAAGTTTTACCCTTTCTCCATCAAATGATAATTTGGTTGTTTTTTGGAACTCATTGTATTTAATTTACCGGTATGTTACATTATATATATTTATTTTTATTTTTTGTAATTCCGGTAATGATCTCGAGTATTATAATTAATGGCTCATGCTGAATATTTTGGTTTTACTATTATAAATCATCAGAATTTTAAAAAATCATTTTGAAATTATTATATATGTATAATTTTTTTAAGTATATAATTCCAAGAAAAAATCCTTTAACGATTAATCGATTTTTATCAATTAAAAAAACTTTATAAAGTGTTAAATCTCTTAACATCCCATGTTTTGTATAGGTATGGCTATACTTTTGTTTTGTTTAGTTTTTTTTTTTTAGTGTAAAGATTAAAATAAAAATTATTCTATAACCGTTAAAACAAGTCAAGTAGTTAAAATTATATTGGGTTTTATTTTATTTAGAAATGTACACATTTGTGTGATGAAACTATAGCAATAGCATAATACCAGTTCAATCTTGGATACTACTTGTAATCCAATATTATTTTGGTTTCATAAAATATGCTATTTTTAAATTAAAAAATTAATAAATATATACTTCACAATATATAACATCACTTTGAATAAAACAAATTAAAAAATCATTAAATTGGTACAGAAAAAAATAAATAAGTTACTGTTAGGACATAAAATCAGGAATTACAATTTTAAAATCACTTATAAAATTGGCAAAAAGTTATTAAATAAATATTAATGTTGTGGAGTGTCAACCATTGAATACCAAAATTTGCACAACATGTYGTCTTTGACCTGCTGTTCTTTAATGGTTTCTTCTTTATTAACCATTAAAATAAAACAAGCTTCTAAATAATGCCTTGTTTTGAAATAGCTTCTAGTTAGTAGTTCTAACAATTCTGCCATCTCCACATTAGTATCTATAAATAAAAACATATTAATAAATAAATAAAGTTTGCTTACACTTCTTACAATATATAAGCACTTCTATTGCAATAATTCAAAAGTCAATAATAGGTGCCCTAACAAATTATTAAAGGAAATTTAAAAGGTATAATTACAAATTTTAAGCATGTTATCACATCTGTAAATATTATAAAGTAAGTAAAAACATCATAACATAGAAATTGACAAATCTCACTAATTGCATCTCAAATAACATGTGGGGTATACAAATATAAAACATAATATTATATGAAAAGAGTTTATAATGCCTATATAGTTTAACATTGGTTTATAAACTATACATTATTCTTGGCATAAGACTAAAAAACTACACGGGAATTCATCAATTCTATTTAAATTTCAGTAGATACAATTGATCCGTTGATGAGGATTTGTAGACATTTTAAAGAAATTAACATCATTTATTGATTAAAAAAATTAATTAGATATGATAAGTGTTACTAGCAAAAATGTGTATGCAGTTTGTATGATCTTTTATATTATGTTTCAGAAAGTTTAACATGAATTGTGAAGTTTGGCAGTGATCACTTTAATTATGGAATTTGGTGATAACTTGTACATAACAAAACCACCAGGTAATTAATTTATGTAGTACTGTAGTAGTATTATGTGATAAACATTTAGCACTACACTACAATACATAATATAATATTTAAATTAACTGGGTATTATTTTGTATAGGAATAGAACTTATTCAATCATATAAGAGAGAAATATTAAATTTTCTCCATTAGGATAAAAATTTGTCAAAATATCAAGACTGTTGCTGATGAAAGTAAGCGTACAAATCTTCAGCTGTACTTTCTTATTAATATTATTTTAAATTTAATTAATACATAAAATATATGAATAATAGGTTGTATTAAAATAAAGGTGGTTAATAGTTGCTCCATTAAATGTTAAAATACAATTGCACAATTCTTATTGTTTTATATAGATACCAATCTACAACTTACTAGTAATCAATAAATTAATAAAAGAAGCAATTTATATCATTATGAAACAATAATATACATAGACCCTGACAATAAAAAAATAATTTTTTTTTTAGTTCTAACAGCTGTAGAAAAATGACAGCAACTGGTGTAGTATTGACGTCAGAAATAAATTGTTTGCAAAATAAACATCATAGAAGGTAAAGAGACAAATTGTTCTAATAATATTGAATGATAAATTGTTCTGTTGAAATACAATTTAAAAATAATTCTCAATCWGTAGTTTTGATTACTTAAAAATTATATTAGTTAAGGACATAGTTATAGTTTCGTAAGTTATAACAATCGTGCACTTCATACACAGTAAATTGGTAAGTCTCCCTAGTTAATACACATATTTAGTAATATGTACATTTAAAAGAAGAATTAATTACATGACAAACCAGATTGTTTACTTATTTTTTCTAACTTTTATTCTTGGTTTATTTCTATGGTAAAAGAAAAAAAATGTGTTATACATTACGAGTATATACGGAAAATTACATACAAGCAAGTTAAGAGGCTCACTTGCGTTCTAAATTTCAGGTTTCTTCATTTTATATTTTGCTACACAACACAAACATTATTTTTTATGTACATCATTATTAAATGCTCAAAAGTTGGTATTTTTCTAATACTGCCYAGTATAAATTTACATTGAATAGAACTGTTATAATATATTAACACAAACAATTGTAACTATGTCCAGTACATATGAACAAATGAATACAAGGAAATAAGGTGTTCTAAACATTATGTGTAAAAAGCTAAAATAGTATTTTCTTTTAAAAAACTTAAAATTTAAATTCAAAATAAAAATATAACTTTTCTAATTTATTTGGCCTTAACTCGTTTTTGAGAAGTGCCTGTATCTCAAAGTTTAATATAAAAATTTCAAACATTAAATTGTCTACATAACCTCCTATTTGACTAATCAAATTTTATGATTTCTCACAGGTTTATGGACTAAGGTGTCTACTAATKATCCTTGAAGCCAAAAGCTGTATAGATTGATTGATTCAGAACTCTTTTTCTGAAAGCCAAAACGTGTGGTCAAATATCTCCAGGAATTCACATTACGGATATATAATTATTATAAACAGATAAATGCATTTTATTTGTGCATGATAATTATTTCTCAACTATACATCTGGATTAAAAAATATATTGAAGTTTTAAATTCCAACAACTAGTATTTTTAATGAACAATTTTAAGTGATGAAATCTAAATTAAAAGAGTTGTTATTTACATATTTATTATGTTGTATTTGTATTATTTAATAAGTATTTTAAATTGAGAATAAAATTTTATCTTTTTTGTAAGATGCAAAATCATATTTTTAATACTAGTTCTACCATAAAAAAAACAAATGGAGTGAACAACATTTATTAAACAAGCAATATTAAGGTTGTTTAAATAGTAAACATTGGCTTTACTAGTATATAAAATTTTTTGCATGTTATTCTTTTTTTTAATGAAATTTACATTTTTGAACAACCTACAAAAATTTCAATTGTTTACTGATTCCTGGTTTTATTTAATTAATATTAATTAATATTTGTTTATTTAATGACCAGAAAATAATTATTTATTAGAATTAAAGTTGACTTACTATATGGTGACAATTCATACATCTTTGGATTGGTACTTATCTTTTGTAATGTGATTTTCCATGATTCTAGCGTCTCCGTTATATCTTTAAAAACAGATATATTTTGACTGGATAGTATGCATTTCAACAAAATCAATATTTGCATTGCCTGGATTGATGAATAATAGTAATTAATATTAGGTGATTACACATTAAGTTTAAAATTATGAGGAAAAACTATATTGCGATTAATTATATTTAATTATTTACAATAGATTTATAATATTTTACCATTAAATAGTCATCTCGAATCGTAAGATAAATTCGTTCTGTTTCTGTCACAGATTGTCCAAATCCCATTATTCGATTACAAGTATCCAATACACCTAGATCAACTTTTTCCATATAGTGTCTGTAATACAACCACATATGTAAGTAAATTTGTTGTATTTCAGATCGTAGCTCAGTTGAATGTTCAGTAATTAAACTAAGTTTCCATTTTGAATCTTTTATAGGTACTTTCATTATCCTAAAAAATTTACATACTTTACTAAATAAAAAATAAACAGGATCAGAAGAATGTATAGGATAAAATTGCCACTAAAATGTAGTAAAAGGCTGCTTAATTAAACATTTAATATAACAAAATAAATTATTAATCCATTGGTATAAAATAAATTATTAAAAATAATATATTTACTCCAAACATATTTTATAAAAGGGTAAAATTTCTGAAGAGCATTTGTTTACTGTTGATTTCTTAAGTGAAAGTTCTTGGATCGAATCAGGTTTCCTGTGAATGGCTTTTGAGCAGAGCTTTAAAAATAACAAATTAGTGTTAATATTTAAATTTTATAATAAGTAGTTTTTTAAATTAATAAATATGCACATATATATCTAAAAAAAAACTACATAATATTAATAATTCATAAGCATCAACTTATTGAACATTTTTATTTTTATGCTTAGTAAGGTTACTTGTATAGACTAATAAATAACATACAACATAAATTGTTCACTTCTAAAAATGACTATTTTAATAATATACAGGTGTCCCGCGAGGATTTACCCATTACGATACCTCACAAATGATGGAGATATCAAAATTCTGGTTTTTTAATAAGACTCGCAGGGTTAAGTACTACATTTACTTYATTTTTAAAGTTATTTTAATGTGTTAATAAAAAAGTTTCTTTTCTTTTTTCATTAATCTTGATTCTTAATTTTTTTCTAGTTTTAAAAGAAGTAAAATATGATTACAACTAGGCATACTGTAAGTGTTTGGCCATTTGTACGAGAATGCGCACGGTGTAGCATGTCACAAGATTGATAACACTACAGTCAGTACGGTGTTAATTAGAAAATTTTTCTCGAAACTAAAAATATAATTAAAAACCAGGAAATTAATGAAAATAAAATTTTGAAACATCAATATACTCAGAAAAATTAACTACAAAATGGTCATAGTATTTTTTTTTTTTTTTTTGAAATAATTAAATAAAAAAATATTATTTTTAACTTTTTTACCAAAACATTAAAATATGAAATTGTAGTTCTTATCCCTGCGAGTCTTATTACAAAATCAGAATTTTGGGAGATATCGCAATGGGTAAATTCTTGCAGGACACCCTGTATGCAAGTTGTACAATAAAATTCTTTCCATACGTAGWAGAGATAATTAATTTCAAGATTAAGAAAAAAACAGAATCCAACAAAACATTTTATCACATAAAAAGTATTTTGAGGCTATACCTTTTTTCATCTGAAGGCATATTAAGGACACGTCAAGGAGCAAACTTAAGAAGAGACAATCACAACAGCGTGGAGGATTTGTATTGGTATTTACCATCTTTTTGGGTATATAACTACTTTGCATAGGGACTTTGGATTTTTGGAATTTTTAAAACCTACAAGTTAAGAATAATGAGTAAGTCTTGAAGTATTGTATTATTTCTAAGTGACAGTTGAAGTATGACAAATAAAGCTCTTTGAGCCTACCGTTTTTTGTAGCAAAACTCTAGGTCTAGTAGCGTCTTGGAAGTTGCAAGTCTCACAGACCTCTTGGTTTGAGTTATAGACCACAACCTCACCAGGGGTGGAAGAAATCAATCTTGGGTAAGAGAGTTGGATGAGATAACATAACAGGTAAGTGAAATATCTAGTTACTTAACCAGTAGTTTGACAAGTCTGAGCGAACAATTTTGATATCTGATAGCACTATCATTCTTGAGTTGTTAAAATACATGTTCCAAAAAATTATCTATATAGTAGTTTTATACCTAAAATTGTAGTTAATAACAATGTAGATAGTATGAATCCTCAGAGCTTTTAAGATTTACTCGTATTTTAGGCAATCATGTTAATATCCATCGAAAAAGATCTGCTTTTCAATATTTACACAGATGAAATCATTAATAAAGTAGCAAGTGGCTAAAAAATATTAACCAAAGCCCTAGTGTACTAATCAATTAATTGTTAATATACATTTGTATATCTAACTAAATTTACTGGGAGAATAATTTTATTCACAAAGGTCTGGCACATGTACAGATTTCTCAGGTTAAATTTTTATCCCAAACAGCCCCTGGGTATATAGTGTTATACTGTAAAATTGTCATAATTTTAAATAGAAACTGGTTGTTTGTAAAATTGGGAATTTTTCCCCTCGGAGTTTCAGTTAAGAGCAACAGCTAAAGAAGTGAATTTGTTTATATTTGGATTTTGGAGTATGTTCATCATAAGAATAAAGATATATTTTAATATTGAGAATGAAAAAAAAAATATCTTGTAATTTATCAAAATTGTAGTATTTTTATGAAGACAAATCTAGTTTTTTAATAATTTGAATCATTAAACGCTCGCATTTTTTTTTAGTTAATTTATTCACTTTTTTACTTTAAACTACTATGTACTTAGTATTATTATCACAATAATAATTCTAATTGTAGCAATGAGATGATCAATGAACATTAATATAAGTACAAAAATAGTATACTCTACCGAAAATAGTCAATATGCTTTAAGATAAAAGACTTAAAATTATATAGTTAAAGTGATGAATGTTTTTTAACAGATAATTACAATATTGTAATGATAGCCACTCTTCACAACTAGGTTATACTAAAAAGATTGTCATCATCATGTCCCTCAACATAATATATTATAATATGGTATTAAACAGCCACATAGATGTTTATATTATAATAAACATCTGTGGTCAATGGTCATATATTGTTATGTCCTTTTATACAAAATCTGTTCCATTTGTGCTCGGACGATACCCTTCAACCATCGGCCAGCCACATGCAATGTCACTCTCCCTGCATACACCCTTAGCGTCAGACATACGTGGTGAGCCAATTTAAGATATTTCAAATGTAATTTTTCTGTGTCTCAAATAATAAATGCTCTTTTTATATATATCTAAATTAACAGTTGTGTTGTCAATTAATATTGAATTATAAATTAATTAGTGTTGAACCTACTTCTCCTTCCTTCGTCCATCAAACACTCAAAGACTTCAGTCGAAGTGGGCTAAGTTAATTTAATGTATAAATAATTAAAACCTTATATGCATATATGTATTTGCATGTGTATACATATATACATATAAGAAGGTAGTAATCTAGAGTGAGAGTGTATACATAATATACACAAAAGGGGTAAACACATATACATTACTAATTCTCTTTTTTATGTTACTATACAATATTAAGAATTAAAAATAAAGCTTGGCAAATTAATAAGATTTACCTGAGTTTCTTTCTTGTCCAAGAAATTACTTAATACAATAGTTTCATTGCTCATCATCATTAATTGCTCATAGTAAGATATCTGCTCTTCATTTGGTAGCTCAAATTCAGGAACTAAAAAAAACAATAATTAACTTAATTTTGTAAAACAAATGATGCCTTAATAAAAATCAAATTAAATATTAAATCATACATTTAGGTTAACATCTTTAACAAATTTAATTGAAAATTAATAATTACTAAATTTTGCTTTGATATGAAACTGAATGTATTCATACATGTAAATATGCAGTATTATTCTAACCAAATTTTTTTTTWAAATTAAATATCAGTCATCAATAATCTTCATTTGTTTTTTTTAAATATGAACTATGAATTTGTAAAATTGTACAATTCTCAAATATTGGACTTTGAAAAATATATAAATTATACGAAATTGATAGTTCATGGATTCAAAGATATAAATATTAAGTAATAACCTGTTGTTACTTACCATTTATAGGATAACTTATGTTGAGAACTTTTCTTTGAGGACCATATACTTCAGATTGCACACACAAGTAAGGATTTTTATCACTATGTAACTCAACTCCTCTAAATTAAAGACAAAAATAACAGTCAAAAATAAACTTATGGATTAAAAATATAAATAAAAAGGTATAATAAGTATAATAATATAAGTTTAAAGGTTATTATTACTAACAATTTTACCCAATGTTTCATCTATCGATTCTTTGCATAATATATATGAGACCTTAAAAAATTTAGTACACTAAGAACTTAAATAATTTGTTACTATCTTGTTTCTTTAAAAAAACTGAAATAAATCTTCATACATGTACGTTACTAATGTAAGATTTTTTTCCCATAAAAATAATATTATATTATATTGTGTGAATAAAAGATGTTATTTGTATTACTAGAGATAAATGAAATCCAGATGGACATTACACATGTGATGGAGGTAGTAACTAGTAATAAGTAACTTTTATTTCTTACATTTAAGTAAATAACCAATTACAAATATAAATTAAAAATCATTAGAAAATTTGGACTTTATAACTTAAAGTACCTATATTTAAAAATTGAAAATATTGATTATTAAATGAAAAATGGGGCATACTTGGTACATTTACCTATATAAAATAAATACTAGTCTGAATAACAAAATATAATATAATCATAGACAATTATACCACACCATAGCACAGCAACTTGATAGGTATATAAATCACTAAAAAATATTCATTTTCATGAACGAACACAAATTCATGTATGAGTCACTCTAAAGTCTATATGGATGGAAATATGAAGCAACAAATCCACCAAGAGTCTTAAGGAATATATTGATATAACTTTTAATGAAAAAGGTTCAGTAGTTATTGAGTCTATGATGGACTTAAAAAGAAATATTAATTTATATAGGTGTATTTTCTATTAAGTAAAAGTACTGAATTATATCTAAGTTAGTAATAATTTTTAAAACCAATTAATGTAGCAAGCTATACTTGGTATAAAACTTATAGTTAGGTATCAGCGATAGCCGACTCTGTCCCTTTCAAAAATTATTGGAAAAATATGTTCAAGGTCCCACGTTTTCCTAATAATACCTAAATAGAAACGCCCTTTTTTATTTAGCCGATCAAATGATTTGTTCTCAGGCCACCAATCCATAGATAGGTACCTAATAAGAAAAATACTAAGTAGTTAAAAAATGGATAAATATGGTAGGTAAGTACCGTGAATATGCATAAGCTGGTAGTCCTTCTCTTAAATTTTTTCTCCTTCCGTCCCTTTCAAATTGTGGTTTGTAATTTGTATACATCTTCTATAATTTTGTAAACATAAAATGACATATTAACACGGAAAATAAAAAATATTTTATGCTATTCATATTCTACTATGCTGATGAAATTCACTCACCAAAATGAAATGCTAAGTATAGTCGTTGATGACGTACGAAAGTAATACGAGTGTACCAAACCTTATATACACAAACTAACGGATTAATTTTAAAACGTCTGACGAAGAGACGTTGTATTAAAATAATATTATGAACACCTATCGCTATATTGTGTTTATAGTCGAAATCGGCAAACGTGGTGGAAAAAACGAGATTCGAAATATTATGGAAAAACACTGTTACTACGCGATGTTTAACGACTAGACAAATGTGATTTGGCGATTATGATAAATGGACGACATGGGCGGACAGACCGAGCCTACGGTAAGTCTTGGACAGCCCTAGGACTCGGAGGAGACGAGAACGTCACGTCGCTAAACGGTGAAACTCACTGAAGTCTGAAACTGACGTGTTTGTAACTTGAATGTGGACACTGGGCACGTGTGGATGTAGAGATATCGATCATCGGTGTTGGTGTGTGTTCGAGCGTTATCGCGTTGAACTCCGCGTTTAACGTTTGTCACAAAAATAGCTACCTACCCATTACAACGCAGTATCTACCATCTTGATTGGACAAGTACCTAGTACAGTTGTAGTACCTGGTAAAGTAGATAGATTAGGTATTGAGACGTATTAAGACGGCAGCTATTAAATGACTTGCAAGTATATTATTACATATTATTATATTTAGTAAATTATTATTAAATGTTACATAATAACAATAATGTTCTCACAACTGAGAAATGATCAGTTTTACCAATAGATTTCTTAGACACGAAAATCCTATTTACATCCAAATAATTTAAWTTGCATTTCAGAGATAAATATAGTATATAGATATACGAGTAGATATATTATTTTTATGGTGTCGTCTACAAACACGTCATACTGTACCACTGTATCAACTGATTGGAATTAAGAGACATTTTTTTCATAGACCGAAATTAATTATGCCAACTAAAGCGGCCATAGGACTTACTACTTAGTACTTGTGTATTTATACAAACATTACGTAGGTTCGACGTACCTCTATACGTATGGTCTGATGTTTTTACATCATTTTTATCTATATGTATTAATTACAAAATTAGTTATTACAAACAATAAACTAATTGTCTATTTCTAGTATACCTATACCAGCCACCAGGGCTTGTGGCTAAATAATAAAATACGTATAGAGGACTATTGTCACAACATGATTGAGTGCGCTTGTCAGTGGTATTTCGGTATTTCCTCAAAATAAATTTAATCAATTTAATTTGATCAGACATTGATATCTGAATTCTAAGATTGAAAAACATGAGCACATGGCATGTTTCTATAACACAAGTATAAAGGTATGTATATATAAATGTATATTAGTATTTTCTTGATGTTTCATAGAAATGTTATTGATTATCTTACTGTTCACACCGAAAGGTGAAAGTTTAAATGTTTAATACACATTACACATTGAGTCAATTTGTATCAAACGTGAGATACAATTTTAAACGCTGTAATAGTATATTATAATATCAGGGGTGGCAAACCAAATGGCACGCGTTTAAAGTGGCACGTGAAAAATTATGTGATTTTTAAAATGTTGCTTGTAAAATAAATCAAAGAAACTAATTATACACRTTTAAAATAATATTATATTCCTATTGAAAATTGATTATGTTATTATTATATAATCAGTTTATCACTATATTTATTATGTTCTATTTGTGTTTTGGGGACGTGAAAAATTGTCACCCTTGCAGGTTAGAAATTTTGACACTGGACACAAAGAAGGTTGACCACCCCGACCACGGGTGGCGGGTATATAATTATAATATATTATGTAATATAAAATAATACTATATTAAAATATTAAATTATTAATAAACAACATAGGTATATATTTATGTATATCGGAGAACCTATTTTTTTCAAAAATTCAACAGCAAGGCTATTTAAATCAGGCTTAGTTTTTTTGCGTACCTTTAGTGCGAGTCGCGAGAGAGTGAAAATGATTATTATTTTTATTTATAAGTTGCTTCCTCGTTGCTACAGTTTTACTTTCTAAATAGGCCATGCGGCCATGTTATATAGTAGTATAGCCTGTATAAAGCTATGAACAACAAAACAACATGATAAGAATTTTTCGACGGTTAGAATCTGACCTTACCCACAGGCTTATTAGCGTATAGCAATAATAATTTAATGATTAATTTTCACGTAGCTGATGGTTTACCTAGGTGCTAGGTTATTCCATAACTTAAACATGCAGATGCTAAAGTTTTATTTTAGATTTTGGTTTCTATAATTCTACATATTATAATAATTTAATAATACACTTGTTTACTTTAAATACTTGGGATATCGTATTTAATATCTATTTTTATAGCAACTTTCATAGACCATTGAAATAATTTTTAATGTTTTTCAATATTTCAGGGGAGGTAGCAGGGCTGGGGTGGCGGCCCAGGGGCGGAGTAGGGCCTAATTTCGGGTTTGGAAAAAATATTTTTGCCGGTACATTAGCTCATCGGCTGATTGTTTCAGGAACTAACCTACTGTTATAAAAATTATAACTGATCTACTGATGATCTATCAAATAACTAAAAAAAAATAACAAATACATATTTTGTTTTAATATTTTCATGAAATAACTACATATACTTAGTACATAAAAAATATAAACATACAAATATCATTAAGTGTATTTAAATTTTTAATATACATATATAATTATGAGAGTAATTTAGAATGTAGTTTTGRTTTTTCACCAACTTAATTTATTATCATATCAATATATGATTATCTAAACTAAACAGAATTTGTTTCTCAATTGCCATCAAAATGAATGATTCRAAGTGCTCGGTTTTCATTGAATTTCTCAACCTGTTTTTTTTTWATTTTAATGTAGAAAATGACATTAATTCACAGGCCACTTGTGTTACCAGCAAAGTTAGTAAATATTGATAAGCAATAGATAATGTATGGTAAGCATTTGAGTAAAGATTGTACTTAATTAATGCAATATAACAACAAATGCTAAAATTTTTACATGTTTTGCATGGTTTTGACACGTCTTCATCTTCATTTTCTGTGTCACTGTTTAAGTACATTTCTTCAGTATATTCATCATCTACAAATTTTTTTWAATGTTTCCAAGATTTCAAAAAGCATAAAATTTCTTCTCATAGTTTATTTTTTATTTCATTTTCATTGTCTTCATCAAAATATGGTTTTAATTGTATCGCTATACATAGAAAGCATTTTTAGAAGTCCATTCACAAATGAATCAAAATGAGTAGGCAATAATGTTAAATAAAAATTATTTCTTTATTATTTGTAAATCGGGTTTTCATACTTTGTATAATTGTATCAAATACTCTGTTATATATACTTTTTCTCAACATTTATAATAGTATCATCAGCAGCTTTATAATTTGCCATTTTTTCTCCATAGGAATACGTTTAACTTCAAATTGACTTTGAATTTTCTTCGATTCCCAAATTCATTAGATTCATTAATCCGTGTTGAAATTGTATCATTCATTTTAGAAATAAATTCAATACACGTATACTTTGTATGTTCCATACTACTTTGATTTTTTTCTAAGTTCATTTAAAGACACTGCGACTATTTGTATGCATTTAAGAATGTCTAATCCACTAGTCTGTAAGTATATCTATAGTCTATTAGTCTATATATAATATATATTCATAGATTTTATAATAGATTTTAAAATAATATAATCTACCTTCAAGTATTAAAAAATGAATTTTCCTTAAATTTAACCAATAGAAAAATATTAACTGCTTACCGACTGTACGAAATAACGAGATAAACTTTGTACAATTTTGAGTAGACTTGAGAAGCAACTTTTTTTTTATTACGTTTTTATTTTACTCCTCCTTTTCAATGTGAGTCAATTATTCATGATGAAGAAATTAAATTGTAAAAAGGTAAATTGTTTGTAGAGAAAAAACCTAAACAACTAACAATGAAAAAACGGGCGAAAACGGCGGTTTTAATGATCTTAGAATATTGTGATATTTCGGTTTTTATTAAATCGGTTATATTATTATTATTGTAACAAGTATCATATATATTATTATATTTATATATGATATTGTGTAAYTATAATCTACGATATTGTTATAATGTACAGTGATGAACTGATGAGTGATGAGTGATATATATGTATAATATACTATTCAATTCTATAATTAGAATTTAAAACTGATGCAATAGGTAGATAAGAACAGTTCGTGCAGTTGTGTGTACTAGGAAGTGGAAATACCATACGTCTTGACAATAATATTATCGACATTCAATATTTCATAATAAGTTCTGATGTTGATATTACTCTTATTAGTATAATTCTGATAATTCATATAATTTCATAATCAGGGTTCGGGACTAAATAATAGCATTTGCATACTTTTTTTATTTATTGTAAAATGTAGCAGAGTACGAAATAAATTCATTTCTCAATGTCGTGATACCAAATCTAAAATTTGAATGTACATATTTTTGCATATTTCATACATTTTGCGGGAAAGTACTTATTTTTACGTTATTTTGGAAAATTATCCAAAATTTCAACCGATCTAAAATAAATAAATAGTAATGCAATCTATGTAYCTATTTACTATATACAACTCACAACTCTTTATAATTTTCGTGATTAGAAAATATTATGGCCCGTATTGCCCGTATCGCAATGCAAAATGCGGAAACATTTAATTATTCAATGTAACAATGAAGGTAAGGCACATAATTAATATAAAATTATTTATTTATTGATTTATTTATTGAATTTTATTTTTCCCATCATTATATAGTTTACGAATAAAATTCAAGAAACAATCAGTTGATTTTTTTTTAAATTTTTTATGTGACACTAATTGTAACTCGGAAAGTGCAAACTATGTGTATAAGTTGTTCTATGCCTTTATGTTTAGATTGTTTTTTTACGACACATTCGTCAAAAAGAATAAAATTTTAAATAATTTATTTTTATTTTTATATTTAGTTGACAAGTATTTTAAGTACTTTTAGTTAAGCAGTTTTATTTACAAGTATACTAAGAAGTATTGTTTTATTATTTTTTTCATTATTATACAATATTTTGTAAGTTAATTTACACAAAACATAAAAAAAAATTTTTATATGAACAAGAAATTAATATTTGTTAACATGTGTGTTAAAAAAAAATTTTTATATGAACAAATAACAATATCATGATGCTATTTACATGGAATAAATAGTCTTTATCTGTATTTTCTATGCCATTAATTGGTTGAGTACCAATATTGGTATTCAATGACGTAATCACGAAAAATTATGAGTACCAAAATTGACCCTCAAAGCTTGAGAGTCAAATAGTGTGAGCACCAATATTAGTACTCAAAGCGTCTAGAAGAAAATATATGTTAAAACTATTAGGGCCTAGGATACATACCACTTGAGTACCGAATATGGTACTCATGGCAGTCAACTTGTTAATAATTAGGTATTAATAAAATAATAAATATATTAAATGCATATTTTTTAATTTTTTGTGCATATTCTAGGGTTTTTAAGTGCTTATTATAGTGCTTTTAAGTGCTATAAGTCCCGAACCCTGGTCATAATAATAATTAATATTAAATTGATATATTAACATCACGTACCATTTTCAGATTGTGTGTAATACAATTTATTTGTATTAAGGATCATTCAATATTTCAATATTATTTAAAATTTTGAACAATTGAGCACTGATTATACAAATATTATTATTTAATGTTAAAATATATTTTTTTTTCAATTGTTGTGGCAGGTCCAGCCCATCTGGTATCCGTGAGTACCGGCCCATCTGGAAATTCCAGATTTCCTGATGGGCCACTCTGCCCCTTGGTGGGGCGTTGCATTTAATGCACCTTTTAAATAAAGAATAATTTACAATGCTTCAATGTTTTATATCTGCCGGGTGACCCACGACCACTCATTTTTTTGCGGTTTCAAAAATAATTATTTTACCTTATCCTTATTTATTAATAATGAAGTAATTACTATTTATATCCCTAATTCATCATGAAGAATGCCAGAGAATTTGATAGTGATCAACACAATATCCATWMATTTTCGATGCAAYATTTTATATAGWTGAGAAAGCTTAAATATATTCCTCCACAAATATATCGAATGACAAATATTACAATTTATCAATAATAAGAATAAAAGTTCAAAACGTTTAAATGACTACCTTGCTTTAAAAACATTTTTATAATCCTTAGGCMGGTGACACACATGAGAAATTTGTTTCGTGAAACAAGAAATTTATTTCGTTACTTGAAAGCGCGTGTATTTAAATGGAGCAACACACACTGTTGTTTCCGAAACGTTATCGCAAAAATATTTTGTAAACAAGTTTCATGAAACCAAACGTGTTTGTTTTCATGTGTAATTGTTTCATCATTTCACTATATCAACTCCCGCGCAGCTAACGACGTAAATAGGTATGTACAAATATGATAATTTATAATTATTAATATTGTTATTGATTTTGATTATGATTATTATATTATATAGACTATAGTATTAAACTATCTTTCTATATAAYAAAGGATCAAAAAAACTACAAATATTGAAATATCAATAGGTAATAGTAAAAATGTAAAAATAAATAATGCAAAAGTTTAATACCTATTGGTTTCGATTGTTACCACCACTGCAGAACAATAATGTCATCATCGGACGACATCTTTAGACCAACTAAAACGAGCTGGGTGAACTAAATGGTGGGTAGGTGAAAAAATATTTATGAAACAAATTTGTTCTGTGTGTATTGACCATGGAATATGTTTCGTGTGATTCATTGTGAAAAACAAATTTTATGAAACAAATTTCTCATGTGTGTCAGCTGCTTTATATTTGCATAATATTATTAAAACGTGAGGCGATTTATGATGTCATATATATCTGAAGTTTTACTGAACCGATTTTTATATCTTTTTCTAACGCGAGTACTCGGTGTACAGATGAGCCACGAAAAAAAGAAAAGCCCAAAAAATTAATTATTTAATTAGTTTTTAAAAGTATAAAGTTTGCTATATCGTTACATAGCGACGYACGTTGCTTGCCTAGCGCACACACATCTTTACAACTTCCACTACTCCTAAGAAAGTAAGAAGTCTGTCGCAATCATGATTATAATGAACTTAATAATTATTGTGGCTGCAATACTGTTGTGTCGTCGTCGGCAGTGGCGACGTGCATTATTGCCTGGCCCATACAATATATATTAACATTGTGGCATTGTCAGAGACGGATTTACACAATTGCCGCCCCTAGACAAATTTTTTTTTGCCGCCCCATTACGACTTAGTAAAAAAACGAAATACGTAATCTATGGTTTAGTATTTAGATAATAGATAATAAACGTTCCGGCAGTCGTTCGATTATTTACTTGGACGTTTATTGTTATGTATTAGTATTATAAAATAATGAAGAAATTGAATCACCGAACAAAAGTCCGGTTACAAAAGTCCCGCGAAAAAAAGTCCGGCTTAAAGATACCCAATAAATCGAAAACCATGTAGTTATATTTTTATTATCTTTTTTATTAAGTAAGTGCCAAATTATTATAAATAAATTACGTTTTTTATATTTATACGAATAAATCCTTTTTTTAATGACCTTTTTAAGTGCTTTATTTTTATTTTTAGTGCATATTTATAAGTTTACGGGTCATATATAAGCGCAGAACTGTACTAGAGCAGCTGTACCTTAAACTTATTCTTTATAATCTGGTGTACATAATTTTCGATAGTGTTTTACCCCTCGTAAATTAATAAACCGGACTTTTTTTCGCGGTACTTTTATGACATCGGACTTTTTTTCGTGGGACTTTTAAGCCACGGTCGCATGATGAGAGTAGTTCGCGATAGTCACTGGCATGAAAGCTGCTATCAAGAGACTGTCACCGTGTGAACAGGTCAATAGTGACTATCAAACTAGACAAACTATCACGAAATTACGAAAACGACTCTCGCACTATCTTGCATGTACGATACAAGGTGGATTTATAAATTTATAAATCCATCTTGGCACGATAGCTGATAGTGAATGTGAGTGATAGTGATAACACTTCACCGTGTGACTTAGATCATATATGATTGTATTTTTTTTTTATATATGATCTAAGCCGTGTGACGGTGTGACCTGCTACTTGCTAGTTGCTACATCACATTCACGCTATCACGCACGTGGACATGGTAGATTTCTGTTTGGTGTTTTGTATTTTTTAAATTCATTTCAAAATGGCAGATTTTGATATTGTTAGCTTTTTAGAAGAATATCAAAGATATCCATGTTTATGGCATAAAAAAGATCCGAACTATAAACTGCGACATAAACGCGATGCAGCTGAGGAAGCACTGCTTGCTTTTACTAAACTACCCACTATTAAACAACTGAGGCAAAAGATTAGGAGTATAAGGTATGTATATCTATAATAAATAATATTATATTATATTATATAATAAATATAATATTATATCATTATTTATATCTCACATTTCCCTAAGAACAAAAATATTGTATAATTAACAAAGCTAGGCATTAACGAGTTAATTATTATATTATATATTATATTGCTTGAATAAATAATTTACCACGGTCACAGAACACTACTTATTATACACAAATTACCTATCAATAGCAATATTTAATACCTTCAATGAACAAAAGAGATATTTGATTACCTCGAACGTTTAAAAACCATAATATCTGTTGGGTTATTTGAATTTTGCACCGTCAATGAGTTTAAAAAAACTTGGCTACCAAGAACTGAACAGCTATTTTATTACCTTAGTTATATCAACATTTATTATAGAATCTAGTAATCTACATGACCTATAATTTGTAAATTTGTAATACTGTATCACAATACGTATTAATATTCATAAAACCTTTGATGTACCTACTAAAGTGTAAATATGCTTTTTTTGGTAGCCAAGATTTTTTTCATTATATATATTTTAATATTCATAAAACCTTTGATGTACCTACTAATTAAGTATGTACTAATAAAATAATAAATAATAATATAGAGATAACATTGTAACAATGTGACATTTAGTCGCCCATATTATATAAGATATCCTACTTTATACAAGTGATTTTCACTTATTTTAAAACCTTTTCAATGATTTTTTTTTTTATTAACTTAATTTATTAATTGATATATTAAAAAAATAAATTAACTTAACTTTTAACTTAATTGAACAAAAAATTTTAACTTAACTGAGTTAAAAAAAATCTTTAACTTGCCCAGCCTTGATAATTAATATAATTTAATATGGAAATAATACTTAAAATTATAATTAACAATAATTATAACATTTATAATAACAATAATAACATATTATTATTATAATATATATTATATATTATTATTTTTTATTACATAAAATAATAATTAAATATAATTTATTAATCTGTTTTTTAATATGTTATTTTTTATTTCAGATGTACTTATAATCAAGAGGCAGCTAAAATAAGATCATCTATGGTGACAGGATCTGGTACACATGATGTGTATGTACCAAAATTAAGCTGGTATACATTTGMTGACAATTTTTTGAAAAAAAATAATGATGGAGAGGGAGAATCTGATACAAATTTTGTAAGCTGAAAAATTGATAAATTAAAAAAATTATATATTGTTAATTATTCAATCATTCTATTTTGCCAATCAACTGCCCCATCTCCAACAAAATAGTCTGCTAAATAATTTCTTTTAAGTTTCGCATCTGTTGCATAATTCTTTTGAATTGGTGTTAAATCTGTTAAACCTGATGGTTTGGGATTATTTCTCCATGCACCTTCTATAAGACATCCTGTTTCAGTATCTTCAATGTCAACCGGTATACAGTTTGAACTATTACCAGTTTTTCTAATCCAATTATGTAGAGCACAGGCAGCTTTAACTAATAAGATTGTTTTATCTGGAGACAACGGAATTGGTCTTCTAAATATTCTAAAACGACTTGCAAATATTCCAAATGCGTTTTCTACTATTCTCCTGGCACGAAAAAGTCTGTAATTAAATATTTTTTCACGTTTTGATAAAATATTTCTTCTTGCAAAAGGTTTCATCAAATAAGTTTCTAAAGGAAATGCCTCATCTCCTAAAATAACATATTCATGTGGCATGTTTAACTTATTTTCTTCTAATGCTTTTTTCAAAGCCGATTTTGCAAAAATTCCTCCATCTGAATTGCTTCCATAACTTCCTATATCAATGCAGGTAAAGTTGTAGTTGTGGTCAACTAAAGCCAATAAAACTATGCTAAAAGTGCCTTTATAATTATAGTAATTTGAGCCTGAATTTGATGGGCATTCCATTACAATATGTTTTCCATCAATGGCACCTGTAAACATATAAAATAAATATTATGCTATTATCTTTTGTGATTTAATATATGTCCATATGATGATAAAAAAAAACCTGTGCATTTTGGGAAATTCCAAAGATTGTCAAATCCATTGACAATTTTATTCCATTTTGTTTCTTCAAGCGGAACCTAAAAAATGTGTTATATAAATTAAATATTTTATTAAATAAAAAATATTTATTATTATTAATTTATTTTAGACAATTTCATCTCAAGAACTTGAAAACACTGCTTTGAAGATGAATAATAGTGATGTTTCAAATAATATAGCTTCACAAAGTATGGCACAAAATATGAATCAAACAACTACAACAACTAAAAAACGTACTAAAAAACAAAGTGGTCAAACATCTAACAAACATTATGAAGAATCATTAGATAAAGCAGTTGATACACTAAAATTTGTTTGTGAACAAAAATCAAAGACAAACGAATTTATWATTTTTGGACAGCATGTTGCTGCTCAGTTAGGAAAATTACCWTTGGAAAAATCAATTTTGTTACAAGAAAAAATTCAAAGTCTTCTAACTAAAGCTCGTTTAGACGAAATATCAAGATCTGGATCTTCTACAGCACTTTTGACTAAAATTGTACACAATGAGACTAACTGTGGTAATTATGATTATAATGAAATTGAAGAAGTTGAAGAAGATGAAGAAGATGAGCCACAGTTATCCTATGATGACAATGTATCTGAGTCTGATAATATAGCAGTGCACTATAACAATTTTATGTGATTTGTTTAAGTTTTTATTTATTTTTATTTAGTCTGGTAGATAGAACAGAGGCATTTTATTTTATTATAAAAGAAAACTCGTAAGTATTATCTGTACTGAACAAAAAAATGTTGGTTATTTTTATTAGAAAAGTTTTTTTGAAAATATTTTGTTTTTTGTTTTTTTGTTGTTAAAACTAAAAAAAAAAAATGTTTAAAAACTGTTTTTATTAAACAATAAAAATTATTTTTTATTTATACCTCAATATAAAGTTGTAGTGCTTCATAAATTGCTTGGAAAACTTCTGGTATGAACTCACAAATAGAAGACTTTCCCACTTTGTACATATACTGGAGTGTTTTATATGAATCTCCTGTTGCTAAATACCGCAATGTCAATTCCAGTTTTAGCTTAGCAGGCAATGCAGTTCTCATTATTGTGTCTTTTTTTTGTATTTTTGGTTCAATCTGTAAAATTATTAAAATATTAAGCTATACTCGATAGGTTGCTAAACTAAAATTATGCCATAATATATTATACTGTAAAATGATGTACAATAATTACCTTTTGCAATAAAAAGTTGAACATAGCTTCATTAATATGTAAATAGTTAAAGTAACTTTGATGGTCTTCGAGTGCCAATTCTCTTAACAATGTGTTTGATGCTCCCAATTGAYTCCTCCTTAGGATCCACTTTTTCACCCACAATTTCTTTTTAGCTACTTGTCTATTTTCCCTTTTTAATTTTATAAGTTCCTCAATAATTCGCACAATTGCCAATTCTAACTCATCGGTAGACATTTTAAAAATAAATTAAAAGTTACAGATAGTTTACAGAACAGTATAACGTTTTTTTTTTTTWWAATTATAATATGAATAAGTACGAACACCGGAGCACAGAACGACAGAACAATTTATATTTTATAAACATAAAAATAAAAACATATAATAATATACAATATCGTATAATATACGATTATCATTTTTTATCATTTTTGAGAAATTTACTATCATACAAGTGCACGAGCGTGTGAACAGGTAGTGATAGTGATAGCAAACTATCATATTATTTCATGACAGCGACTATCGCGAACTACTCTCATCGTGCGACCGCGGCTTTAGGTAGAATCCCAAAGAAATTATATCAACAATAATATTATGTTATACAAATATTAAACATTTTYATTTTCMATCCTTCAAAGTAATCACCGTACATAAGAAAATCAAAAAGAAACCTAGAGTATATTTTCAATAAAATATTGGCCTAAARTTGCCGCCCCTAAAAATTTGCCGCCCTAGGCAACTGCCTACTTTGCCTGACGCTAAATCCGCCACTGGGCGTTGTGCAATAACAGTGAAATATTGTTATAATGGTATTATATTAAATTTAGTTTTTATATTTAAAACGCAATATCAATTAATTCCCGCACAGTAGGTGATAGAAATTGTTTTTTTCATTCCGTGGCATATGTAATATTTGGTACTCAGGAAAAACATTGAGATATTCTTGGTAACTTGGTGATACAGTTACATTCGATCATTCATCATTCGATCGTTAGGATGTTAGTTTAGAAAAAGAAACATTGACAGCATTTGAACATAATGTCTATATTATGAGTTTTAAACTTATAACTATAACCACAGAACAATAATATACACATACTGTACGCTCCGAATTTAACGGATGGTGACAGATAGGCTAACTAATAAACTTCGTTGTCGTCGTGGACTCATGGTCTGCACGACATACGGCGATAACACTAATAAAAACATAAATACATAATAATAATAAAATTAATAATAATCAAAATCACTACATTATTATACATAATATTTATTATTTATTTTTATTTTATTAATCATAAGCCCAGCAATTATGGCCATAAGCTTCAGTGGCGCAATCTAGGGGAGCAGCGAGGAAATTGTTCACTTAATCAACATAACACTGGTATAAAAATATTCTGGTATTTTYTTATGGTTAAATGAAAATAAAAAAATAAATTAGATATAAATTTGATAGAAAAATGAGGTATCAGTTTAATTTATTATTATTTCTCTTTTAGAAATGCGTTTTAGATTAGGTGATGATTACTGGTTAAGTATTCTTAAAAAAAATTRTAAACAGTTATCTGAAAAAAAAACTTATATATTATATGATTTAAACTATGGGTACCTTAGAATCTAAGGTACAACAAAAATACTAATCAATGAAATACGATGGTAAAAAAGTTGATAATTAGTATTCTGGAATAAAATACAAATAGAAGATATTTTCAAAGTATTTAAAATACACGTCATGTCAAAAAGTAATTGAAAGCATTTGAAATATAAAAAAACGATTGTGCAATCAGAAGTATTCACTCAGACTTCGTTTCAAGTTATTGTCTTTTAAAGTTCGTCAATTTGAGTGCCATAGGCGGAGATTTGATTGAATTTTGGGGGGGCTTAAATCAGTCTTTGCAAAATAATTCGTGGGAGCTTTGCCTCCACACCCCGCACTAATAACAATATTACCTTATATAGATATTAACTACTTAATCATCAACTAAAAAGAAAACTACAAAACACATATTACTAACTACATATGCACTTTGAAAACATAAATTTATAATAATACATATATATATATAATAAATATTTTATATATTACCATATTTATATATATGGTAATAATAAATTGTTTTAAAATAAGTCAACGTCCGGTGGTCGGCCACGTGACTTTGAAGAATGTTCAATTATTTTGAGGGGTCTTTCGATCTTTTTGGGAGGGATAAGTCCCCCCAAGCACCTCCCAATCACCGCTTATTTATAATAATATAATGTCACTGTCGTCGGAACAAATGCAATTTATGGCCAGGTAGTCTTTCTTTTTCGAAATTATTTTTGATACTGATCATGAAAAATCAGACGAAATATGCAAACACTAATGTGTGAAAATAAATATACTTAACTATATATATGATTTTTCCATCAAATTCCAGTGTAGGTAAAAAAAACGTACTTTTAAAATAAAACAAAATGTATGCAATGTTTTATACCACCAAGGCATGGTTAACTATAGAGCTTTGTGGAAAAATATCCAACTTCAAACTGTTATAAATTGTAACCTTGAAACGTTGTGGGATATTAATTAAAATTAAATATCAAAATATTAAATAATAAAAAGTAGGTAGGTAAAAGGYATTATTGTATGAAACTACTAGAGGGACCGCAAAATAAATTAATTTTCATTAAAAATATTARTTTAAGTTTATGGCTACTTCACTTTCACTTGTTCACTTATTTTCTTAAACATAAGTYGTCAGGTAGTATATTATTTGTAAATTATTTTTACATTCATTTATGCTGAAAATATTTCAATCTTGTTGTAGCACTTGTGGGTACGACTAAATTAATTGTTACCAGAATATTTTAGTCAAGCCTTTTAGGTTCACAAACTGCCATATTGAATCACACAAATTGTAAAATATATATAAAAAATTGCCAAGATCAATGATAAAAAAAAAATGTAATACAATTTATTTACACAATATTATACATTAATATAATATTTTTATACTGCTTAAATTAACAAAGTATATTAATTTTTAAAATAATTTATCGACTTTATTTAGAGACTTAAAATAAATGTATTCAATTRTGATTGGTACTTTCTTTATTATCACTTACATAGGTACCTATTTTTTAAATGATTGATATTTTCGATTTTTTTTTAGTTTTTTTTCTTATAACAATATAACAAGTATTTTTATAAAATTATTTGCATTCTTCCAATCGTTAAGCACGCTTGATTACCAAATTGTGAGGTATTGAGGTAAAATATAATATACCTAATTAATATTTTCATTTTAATCTATATGCTTCAATTAAATATTACAATTTTACATATTATTATTTTTAATTGTACACAAGGTATWTTCATTGTTCAGGATTTGTATTTATTCTACACATACCAAAACGTTTAAGACTTATATACCTTTTAAAATAATATATACTACTACTATATTTTATCATAAACATAAAGTATTAATAAATAAAAAACAAGGTCGCACATTTTTTGCACATGACATATGGATGTGTGTAGTGCACTAAAGAATACAGATTACAGACTACACATAAAACTGTACACAGTTAAACATAAATAATCATTGATGAATGAAGWAAAAATATAAATCTGCAAATGTAGACCTGTAGTATAGAAAATAATAATATTATAATATAAATAAATTAGTAGTATAATTTGAGTTATATTATATAGTTTGAAACAATATAGTGCCAAAAACTCCTATATACTCGTATATGACTAACTATATGTTTTACATTTTTTTTTTTTATTCTTTANCCGCCCCTAAAAATTTGCCGCCCTAGGCAACTGCCTACTTTGCCTGACGCTAAATCCGCCACTGGGCGTTGTGCAATAACAGTGAAATATTGTTATAATGGTATTATATTAAATTTAGTTTTTATATTTAAAACGCAATATCAATTAATTCCCGCACAGTAGGTGATAGAAATTGTTTTTTTCATTCCGTGGCATATGTAATATTTGGTACTCAGGAAAAACATTGAGATATTCTTGGTAACTTGGTGATACAGTTACATTCGATCATTCATCATTCGATCGTTAGGATGTTAATTTAGAAAAAGAAACATTGACAGCATTTGAACATAATGTCTATATTATGAGTTTTAAACTTATAACTATAACCACAGAACAATAATATACACATACTGTACGCTCCGAATTTAACGGATGGTGACAGATAGGCTAACTAATAAACTTCGTTGTCGTCGTGGACTCATGGTCTGCACGACATACGGCGATAACACTAATAAAAACATAAATACATAATAATAATAAAATTAATAATAATCAAAATCACTACATTATTATACATAATATTTATTATTTATTTTTATTTTATTAATCATAAGCCCAGCAATTATGGCCATAAGCTTCAGTGGCGCAATCTAGGGGAGCAGCGAGGAAATTGTTCACTTAATCAACATAACACTGGTATAAAAATATTCTGGTATTTTYTTATGGTTAAATGAAAATAAAAAAATAAATTAGATATAAATTTGATAGAAAAATGAGGTATCAGTTTAATTTATTATTATTTCTCTTTTAGAAATGCGTTTTAGATTAGGTGATGATTACTGGTTAAGTATTCTTAAAAAAAATTRTAAACAGTTATCTGAAAAAAAAACTTATATATTATATGATTTAAACTATGGGTACCTTAGAATCTAAGGTACAACAAAAATACTAATCAATGAAATACGATGGTAAAAAAGTTGATAATTAGTATTCTGGAATAAAATACAAATAGAAGATATTTTCAAAGTATTTAAAATACACGTCATGTCAAAAAGTAATTGAAAGCATTTGAAATATCAAAAAACGATTGTGCAATCAGAAGTATTCACTCAGACTTCGTTTCAAGTTATTGTCTTTTAAAGTTTGTCAATTTGATTGAATTTTGGGGGGGCTTAAATCAGTCTTTGCAAAATAATTCGTGGGAGCTTTGCCTCCACACCCCGCACTAATAACAATATTACCTTATATAGATATTAACTACTTAATCATCAACTAAAAAGAAAACTACAAAACACATATTACTAACTACATATGCACTTTGAAAACATAAATTTATAATAATACATATATATATATAATAAATATTTTATATATTACCATATTTATATATATGGTAATAATAAATTGTTTTAAAATAAGTCAACGTCCGGTGGTCGGCCACGTGACTTTGAAGAATGTTCAATTATTTTGAGGGGTCTTTCGATCTTTTTGGGAGGGATAAGTCCCCCCAAGCACCTCCCAATCACCGCTTATTTATAATAATATAATGTCACTGTCGTCGGAACAAATGCAATTTATGGCCAGGTAGTCTTTCTTTTTCGAAATTATTTTTGATACTGATCATGAAAAATCAGACGAAATATGCAAACACTAATGTGTGAAAATAAATATACTTAACTATATATATGATTTTTCCATCAAATTCCAGTGTAGGTAAAAAAAACGTACTTTTAAAATAAAACAAAATGTATGCAATGTTTTATACCACCAAGGCATGGTTAACTATAGAGCTTTGTGGAAAAATATCCAACTTCAAACTGTTATAAATTGTAACCTTGAAACGTTGTGGGATATTAATTAAAATTAAATATCAAAATATTAAATAATAAAAAGTAGGTAGGTAAAAGGYATTATTGTATGAAACTACTAGAGGGACCGCAAAATAAATTAATTTTCATTAAAAATATTARTTTAAGTTTATGGCTACTTCACTTTCACTTGTTCACTTATTTTCTTAAACATAAGTYGTCAGGTAGTATATTATTTGTAAATTATTTTTACATTCATTTATGCTGAAAATATTTCAATCTTGTTGTAGCACTTGTGGGTACGACTAAATTAATTGTTACCAGAATATTTTAGTCAAGCCTTTTAGGTTCACAAACTGCCATATTGAATCACACAAATTGTAAAATATATATAAAAAATTGCCAAGATCAATGATAAAAAAAAAATGTAATACAATTTATTTACACAATATTATACATTAATATAATATTTTTATACTGCTTAAATTAACAAAGTATATTAATTTTTAAAATAATTTATCGACTTTATTTAGAGACTTAAAATAAATGTATTCAATTRTGATTGGTACTTTCTTTATTATCACTTACATAGGTACCTATTTTTTAAATGATTGATATTTTCGATTTTTTTTTAGTTTTTTTTCTTATAACAATATAACAAGTATTTTTATAAAATTATTTGCATTCTTCCAATCGTTAAGCACGCTTGATTACCAAATTGTGAGGTATTGAGGTAAAATATAATATACCTAATTAATATTTTCATTTTAATCTATATGCTTCAATTAAATATTACAATTTTACATATTATTATTTTTAATTGTACACAAGGTATWTTCATTGTTCAGGATTTGTATTTATTCTACACATACCAAAACGTTTAAGACTTATATACCTTTTAAAATAATATATACTACTACTATATTTTATCATAAACATAAAGTATTAATAAATAAAAAACAAGGTCGCACATTTTTTGCACATGACATATGGATGTGTGTAGTGCACTAAAGAATACAGATTACAGACTACACATAAAACTGTACACAGTTAAACATAAATAATCATTGATGAATGAAGWAAAAATATAAATCTGCAAATGTAGACCTGTAGTATAGAAAATAATAATATTATAATATAAATAAATTAGTAGTATAATTTGAGTTATATTATATAGTTTGGAACAATATAGTGCCAAAAACTCCTATATACTCGTATATGACTAACTATATGTTTTACATTTTTTTTTTTTATTCTTTAAAATGCGTATACCTACTGGTGCTCAAGTTCTGATTCCAWTTTTTAGTTATTTTTTTTTAAATACATATCTTAAACTACGATAACCTGGTGGTATTAGATTAATCATTATTGTAAATTGTTTTTTCAGTTTAAGAATCTGGCGATTGTAGACTATAGTCATAATCATGACGTGATCTATTTATCTATATATATATATAATTAAATATCATTATATACATGATACATCACCCTTCACTCCCAGTGGAGTGGAACGTAGTTAGAAACCGAATGACGCAATCGGATGATAGCACAAGAAATTGGCGATAGCGAGAAACCACACAATTTTTTTGCGCTTTGCTATGAATCGAACCGATGACTGAGTGAGTCGCAATCAACTGCATGACTACTGTGCCACTTTGGTCCCAATACATTTTACATCAGAGGCGGTTTGAGTATACTGTTTTTGGTACACTGAACTGCCAATGTTAGGGGGGTGGGTGGTCTTGGTTGAGCATGTGCTGACCGCAATGTTTAATTTTAGTGTTCAATARATGAAAAAAGTAATAAAGTACCTAATCAATGACATATGATAAATGATAATCGTGGCTGAAACTGTCGAAAGCGTTGAGTTAAGAATATAAGGGCCTTATAATTATAAACTATAAACTTAT